CTCTGATAAGAGCCTCATTTCTAAAATATATAGAGAATTAAGTCAAATTTATAAGAATACAAGCCATCCCCCAATTGATAAATGGTCAAAGAATATGACGTTGTCAGATGAAGAAATTAAAGCTATCTATAGTCATATGAAAAAAATGCTCTAAATCACTATTGATTAGAGAAATGCAAATCAAAACAACTCTGAGATACCACATCACACTTATCAGAGTGGCCAACATGACAAAACAGGAAAATGATAAATGTTGGAGAAGATGTGGGAAAATTGGAACACTAATGCATTGTTGGTGGAGTTGTGAAATGATCCAACCATTTTGGAGAGCGTTTTGGAACTATGCCCAAAGGGTTATAAAAATGTGCATACCCTTTGACCCAGCAATAGCACTTCTAGGGCTATATCCCAAAGAGATCACACAAATGGGAAAAGGACCTACATGTACAAAAATATTCATAGCAGCTCTTTTTGTGGTGGCAAAGAATTGAAAATTGAGAGGATGCCCAACAATTGGGGAATGGCTGAGCAGGTTGTGGTATATGAATGTGATGGAATACTATTGTGCTATAAGAAATGATGAACAGGCTGACTTCAGAAAAACCTGGAAATACTTGTATGGTCTGATGCTGAGTGAAGTGACCAGAATCAAGAGAAACGTTGTACACAATAACAGCCACGTTGTGTGATGACTAATATTGATAAACTTAACCCTTTCTGGCAATACAAGGATCTAAGACATCTCCAGAGGCCTTGTAATGGAAAATGCTATCCACACCCAAAGAAAGAACTATGGAAGTCGAACTGCTATTTTTTTCTCTTCTGTTGAGTTTTGTTTCCTCTTTCTGATGGTTCCTCCTATTGGTTTTAATTTTTACTTACAACATCACTAATGTGAAAATACATTTAATATGAATGTAAATGTATAGCCTATATCAGATTGTGCATCATCTTGGGGAGGGTGGTGGGGAGGAAGGGGAAGAAAAATTTTAAACTCGAAAGCATATGGAAATGATTATTGATAAATCAAAATAAATTAATAAAAAAAGAAAAAAGAAATATTCTATTCTTTAGAATAGAAGCTCTTTGAGAGCAGTGACTGCTTTTGCTTTATATCCAATTGCTTAGTACAGTGCCTGGGACAGAGTAAATGCTTAAATGATTACTGATTGACTTATTGGTTGTTATTGAATTAATCCTGAAGCCATCTATTCTGAGCTCTCTACCTGCAAGCTCTACATTTCCACCCATTCTTTCCTCCTTTGCTCAACTCTCTGAGGGAAAGAGTTCTTCCTATCAAGGCAAATCTTTCTACTTATTCAACCCTTGATCTTATCTCCTGCAGTCTAGAGGGAGGCAAAGAGGGCTTCAGGAGGAGTGGAGCACAGAGAAATATGGAATGAGAGGTGGTAATAGTCTGATAAAACCACATTGGAATTTCTGATGAAGGAAGTAAAATATTTGTGAACAGTGAGATCCAGTCTGTGTTCTACCTTTGAGGTGGGGCATAGGAGAAACTCATGACATTTGAGCAGATTGAGGAAACGTGAGGTTAGGGGCCTGAGTGAATATCAGCATGATTGGTGAAGGCCCCTAGTGTGAGACCAGATATTGGGGAGGAAAGAAAGATGGTGAGTCAAGTGCTGCAGTCCAGGAGAAGGAAAGGAGGATGAGTTGTTGGCCGGCAGATAACAGTCATCATCATCTGTGGAGGTAAAAAGAATTGTAAAGGAGTGAACTTGAAAAGAGGAGAGGCTCCTGAGTGATGGAAAGGAAGAGAGAGTCAGGTAGTGGTCATGGCCATCATTCTGCCAGTCATCTAGGGTCCCATCCTGGTTATCATCTGCTCATGCCTCTTCTACATCCCTCTTCCCCATTTCCCAATCAGTTGCCAAGTCTTCTCAATGCTATTGCTTTCATATCCATCACCTTCTCACCATTCACCTGGCTCCCACCTTGGATCAGCATCTTAGCACCTTCCCTTAGACGAATATAATAGTGTTCTATTGGTCTTCATGCCTCCAACCCATCTTCCACAAGACTGTAAGATCTTATATTCAGAGATAGAAGCATCCTAAGAATTCATATAGACCAACCTCCCATTTTATAGATGAGGAAAGTGAGACCCATTGGGGGTAAGTGGCTTGTCCAAGGCTGTATAGTAGTGAGTAGTACTGGCATTTTAAAGTGTCTGTATTACCTGTGATTCCATCACTCTTTCCCCCGAGTCCCTGCTGCCTTCACATGTCTGGCAGAATTATCCTTTCAGGATATCAGTCTGATCCCACCATACCCTTGATCAAAACCCTTCAGTTACTCTCTACTACTGCTAGTATTAAACATATATTATATCCTTAATCTGGTACTTACATTCTCTGAGCCTAGCTCCAATCTCCTATTCCAGCCTTCCTTCATTTTGGTCCTTACTCATTCTGTGTTCCAGCCAGATCAGTCTAAGAGGCATTCTCCAGACTTAGTGGTCCATGTTCCACCTCTATGCTGTGGCACAGCCCTTCGTCCCTTCCCAGAATCCCCTCAGATTCTTTTTCTTGCTTCAAGGCTCATCTCAGGTGCCACCTCTTTTTTGAAGCCTTCCGTGATCTCCTTCAGGTGTTAATCCTCTCTCTGGGTCTAAATTACCCTATAATTATAGTCCTATAGGAAAAATGTCTTCTTCTGGAAGCAAGGTCCATTGAATCTCTATATCCCTGAAGTTTAGTGCTTGAAAGCATCTAATACATTTTTGATGATCAGAATTGAATTGAATATGATCGTTTGATCTACTATGTGACGCAGGGGGAAAAGGGCTAGATTTGGATGTGGGTTCAAATCCCAGCTCTGTGCTTGCTACCTGTGTACCCCCCTTTGGGGGAGAGAGGAAGCTTCCTCACCTGGGAAATGAGAAGATTGAGTCAGATGACTTCTAAAGTCCCTTTCAACTCTAATGTGATGATCTCATGTTCCTCCTACAGAACCCTGTCACTTAGGTATTGCCCCATACCCATTTCTCAGAATGAGGAAACAGCTTTTGTTTTCTAGGACTTTCTAGGAGCCATAGAGCTAAGGAAGCTGGTGGAGCTACAAAGTGAGCTCCCAGCCTAGTGCTGTTTCTAGGGCAAGACATTGATGCTGGTCAGACCAGAAGCCTCTCTTGTTTCCTAGCCCAGGACTTTCTCTAGACCACAGTGCCAAGTGCCAAGGGCAAGGCTTCATAAGATCATCCCATAAAAGCTGGAAAGGAACTTAGAAGTCACCTAATCCAAACTCCTCTTTTTACAAAGAAGGAAACTGAGGCCTACGAAGACAGAAGGACTTGCCCAAGGCCATATGGGAAAGAAGTGGCAAAGCTAGGAACTGAACCCAGATCTTTTAACTCAAAATCCAATGGTCATTCTACTGCACTGTGCTATCTAAGGCAAAAGCATGATCATCTCAAAATGACAAAGAGAAAGCCTTACATTTGGGATGTGGGATTTGGGAAACAGCATCACCAGCAAACTGTACAAGATGGCATGACTACATGTTAGCCCATGTGAAAAAGATCTGGGGGTTTAAGTGGACTGCAAGTAAAAACAAGTCCAAAGTGTAACATGACAGCCAAAAAATTGTAAATACAATTTCAAGATGCATGAAGACAAGGGTTATGTGGAGAACAAAGGGTGTCACTTAGACCATTAAAGAATCAGTATGGTCATCTGAGTATTTTTGAATGATCAATGACACTTGCTACCCCACTGCCTGAGAGCTAGGCATAACTCTGTGTCACTTTTCATCTCTCCTCCAGGATGCTCTGGTACCCTAAAAGATTTGGGAGGAATCTATTCTCTCTGCCATTGGATAAAGTCCTCATCAGATATATTCTTTCAATTTTTGGGGCCCTCTTTAACCACTTAACAGTAAGATTAACTTTAACAAATGAATATTTACTTCAAAGATGTAGCAAGAACAAACATATAAACATTCCTCTCAATATGGGGGGGCATAATTCCTCCACCTTATACCACCACTATCTCTGGGGAGGGAAGGAGGATTAGGTTCATAGCTCAATTCAGTTCCTATGTAATATGGTCCCACCAAGTGGCAAGCCCAAAGACCCCCTTGGCTTGTGCCCCAGAACCCTGGCTTCTCAGCTAAGCAGCAACATCTGGCTTAATATGGTTCCAAGGTTGCTGTCACTTGAGGTCCTGGGTCTGGGGACTCCATTATCTGTTTGAGGAACTGAAAAGCACAAATAAACAGATTGAAACTTCAAGCCAATTTTGGGGGGCTGCAGGACCTAAAGGTAGAGGGAAAAGTATCCCTAACTCCCTACTCAGCTTAGTTCATGGTTCCTATGCTGCAATCAAATAGAGCCTTCCACCTTAGTGGAGAGAGACAGAGAGACATAGAGTGAGAAAGGGAGAGAGACTGTTCCAGTCTGGTGGTTTTTAAAGATGCAGCCAATGGCAAGAAGCTGCTCTAGCCCAGGAAGGTGGTAGGAGGATACCGGACTTTTCCCAGAAGCAGATCCCTCCCATCCCACATGGGTGCTTCCTTCTTAGGTGATCTGGGCATGTGCAGCAAAGCCCCATCATCATAATAATGATGTCATATTTCTGTGGCATTTTGAGGCACGTAGCACCACTGTTTTATTCCCATTTTACAAGCGAGGACGTCAACAGGGAGTTCAAGAGATTTCCCCTTGGTTACCAGGCACACACATAACAAAAACAAGACTTTGTCCCAGATCTCCTGACTCCCAGTGCTCTTCCCAGCATGTCACAATACTTACCATTCCTCTACCATTTACCTCCTTTCCTTATTAGCAAGAAAGGAAGACTGGGGGAAGGAGGAGAGAGAAAGGGAGGGGAGTCACATCAGAGAGAAGGGACAGCTCTTGGATCAAGGAAAGAGGAAGGGGGACAGGGTGGATCGCCCACTTGCTGACACTAACTGCTGGATCACCAGCATGGCTCTGGGCGAAACAATGAGGAGGAAGTAATAGAGGCAAACCTTCCAATTTGTCACTTCCTCTTGCATCGGTCTGATGATGAGAAGGACACTGCTCTCCACTAGGACCTGGAGCTGAAAAGAGATCCCACTGGCCAGGCTGCTCTTGAGGAGAAAGAGGATGGACCAGTTGAAAATCACTGAAAATGTGACCCAGAAAAATGAATCACATCAGGCTGCAAAGGGTAAGGCGTTGGGGAGTCCTTGAGGTGGATGGAGAAGAAGACAAGTCTCCAGAAAATTAGGATTATCATTCCAGGGCTGATGACACTTAGAGCTCATCAAGTGCAACCCACCCATTTTACAGATGAGTAAATTGAGTCCCAGAAAGGCTAACCAGGGCTGTGTGACCAGGGTCACATAGCTCATAAGTGATTGAGGTGGGTTTCCAGTTCAGGCGGTTCAGACTCCAACTCTAGCATACCCTTCACAATGCTGACTCAGTCATGGATTAATTCTCTTGTGGTGGGTGAAGGTTATTTGGGGAGCCAGAAGGCTGAAGGTGGGGGTGGAGGTGAAACTTATGAGAAAGGGTCCTTTTTCTTTCTGCTCTCTCCATTCTACCCAAAGTACACCTTGTGTCCTGAGCCAGGGGTTTGAGGAAAGATGAGCCCTAGTCTGTATCTTGAAGTAGTACACATTCTAAGAGAGGAGGCAAGACAGATAGAGCCAATAGCCTGGGAAGCCTCAGGGTGCAATGGAAAGAGTCTTGAGCTGAGAGTGAGAAGAGCTGGCTTCAGTTCCTGGGTCTATCATTTCCAAGCTGTGTGTGACCCTGAGTCAGTCACTTAACTTCAGGGAATGGGTAATGCATCGAAGGGTCTCTAAGGTCCCTTCTCACCATACATCCAATGGTTCTGTGACTAGAAGATGCCTGGGGCACCTTCTAGATGTGGCATGAATAAGCCAGTTCGAGGCTCCCTGCATTTGGCTCTTGTCAGATCACATAATAACACTGATAAGTAGCATTTATACAATGCTTCAAGGTTTGCAAAGCCTTATGTAAATATTATCTCATATGATTCTCCCAGCAACTCTGAGAGGGAAGTGCTATTATTATTTTTGTTTTACAGATAAGGAAATTGAGGCAGACAGCTGATAAGTGATTTACCCAAGGTCACAAAGTAAGTGTCTGAGGTTGGACTTGAATTCAGGTCTTCTGACTTTGCGTCCAGGACTTTATCCACTACTTCATCCAGCCATCTTATCATGCCTGAAGTATTGTGCTCAATTTTTTACTTCAAGGTTTAGGAAAAACATTGACAAATTGAAGTGTCCAGAGGAGGGAAATCAGAATGAGGAAGGGCCTTGAGTTTATCCATAGGAGAGTCAGTTGAAGAATCTGGGCGTGTTTATCCTGGTAAAGAGAAGGCTTGGGAAGAGGTGGAGGATGGCCATGTTTAATTAAGAGTTTGAAGAGATGCCACGTGGAGGATGGGTTAGACTTGGTCTCTTTAGACCCAGAACCAGGAGCAATGCCAGCTCTCTGCTGCTACACCACACTGCTCTCTGAGGGTGGGGAGAAGAGGAAAGACTCATTAAATAAATGACCATGGAGTTTTTCCCTTTTGTTCTGATTCTTCTTACGCAACATGACTAATGTGGAAATGTGTTTAATATAATTGTACATGTAGGGCCTATATCAGATTGCTTGCTGTCTTGGGGAGGGGGGAGGAGAGGGGGGAGAATATTTGGAACTCAAAATCTTATGAAACTGAATGTTGAAAACTATCTTTACATGTAATTGGAAAAAAATAAAATACTATTAAGTGGGTTAAAATGACCACAGATAGGGAGGGGTCTCACTTAGAGCTGAGATTCATCTCCCCTGGTGGGGGGAGGTTTGTTTGTGCCCTGAGCTAGGGGTCCCTGTATAACAGAAAAAGCAGGGAGATGGGCAGACAGTCACGGTGGGGGTGGGGTAGAATTGGGCTGCCTCCAATGCTTGCCAGCTGTGTCATTCAAGACAAATTACAACCTCTGAACTTATCTGCCCTATCCCTGTACAAGGAAACCTGCCCTCTTCACACCTAGGATCTACATTCACCTGTTTGGCTCTCCTCTCCTCTGCCATAAACATTGGCTGCCTTCTCCTTCTTGCCCTCAAGTTCCTGTAATTTCTATTTCAGCAACCAGTCTTTCCATGTTTTTCAGAATCAGGGCCAGAGTCCCAGTTCCCCTTGTAACTTCCTCCATCTTTTGAAGTTGGTTAACTCTCTGTAGTTTGGCTTCTGACCTCATCATTCCAGCAAGACTGCTCTCTCTGAAGTTATCGTGATCTCTTAGTTGCCACAGCTAATGGCCTTTTCTCAGTCCTCATCCTCCTTGACCTCTCTGTAGCCTCTGACACTGCTGATCGTCCTCTTCTCCTTGATCTTCTCTGGGTTTCCTTGATGCTACGCTATCCTGGCTGTCTTCCTTACCTGCTTTACCTCTGCTGGATCTCCTTCTAGGTCATGTCCACTAACTGTGGGTGTCCTCTGGGATTTTGTCCTGGGCTCTCTTCTCCCTTTACGTCATTTCATTTGTTGATCTCATCATTTCTCATGGATTCAATTATTATTCCTATGCTGATAATTCTCACATCTACTGATCTAATTCTAATCTCTTTGCTGACCTCCAATCTTGCATCTTCAACTGACATCTTGACTTGGATGATGAGTAGACATCTTAAACTCAATATGTCCACAACAGAACTCATTATCTTTCTCCCTAAACACTCCTCCCTCTTGCCTTCTACCATCCTCTCAGTCCCTCAGGCTCCCAACCTAGGAGTCATCCTGGACTCCTCCATATCTCTTATCCCCCATATTCAAGCTGTAGATTTCACCTCTGTAACATCTCTTGAATACACCCCCTTGTCTCCTCTGAAACTGCTCCCCCCTACAGATTCTCATCACTTCACACCTGGACTATTGCAATATCCTGCTGGTGTGTCTCTCTGCTTCAAGTGTCTTCCTACTCCTGTCCATCTTCCAAAGAGCCATCAAAGTTATCTTACTAAAGTGCAGGTCCATTGTGTCATCTCTCCAAGCTTCCACATTCAATCAATTCCAGAGGATTTCCATAAGAAAGAATATGTGTTCTTACTATATAATGCTAAATATATAATGGCCCACTTATCGTTTATCCCACAGAAAACTCTCTAAGCAGATAGTAATTGTGAAATTTGACAGGTCTCCAAAAGTCTAAAGTCAGAACCCGGGTACTTGTCCTGGGAAGAAAGGAGACTTCTCTGTTGTTTATGTGAATTTAAAAAAAAACTCCAGCTCTCAAAATGGAGACACAAACTAGTCCAACTCATCTCTTTCCCTCTGACCATTATTGGATGCCCATTCATTTTTGATTCTTCATCACAGTGAATATAAGCAATGGCTCCCTCCAAACAAGGTCCATCTCTCCATCTCTAATGGAAGAACCTTGTAGCTGTTACTGAGTTCCCAAAGTTCATGGTTTTTTCTGCTTCCCTTCCTCCCCTAGCTCATATTCCTTCCCCCTATAACCTTAGGAGGGAAGTGAAAATTTCCCTCTGCCTCCTCACTTCCTTTTCCTTGGTTTCCTCCTTGAAGCATTTCTCAAATTGCAATACACCATTCTCTCTGATAATCTGGAAAGTAGAGATCTGTTCCTCCAGCCTTTTCACTCCCACTTCTGGGATGGAGACCCATTGGCACAGTGTACATCTGTAGGTAGTACATGGTGTTGGCAGAAATGCAAGTATGGAACATCCCGTGTAAGTCACAGAAAAGCCTTCACATGTGTGTGAAGCAAAGTCCAGGGTCCTTTACCTTCTCTTTTGGTTGTCCTGCTGATTAACAAGCAAACTGATTACCTATTCTATCTGTTTCCTGCACAAGTGCTCCATCCTGGGAGGCTCTTGGCCAAAGCTGATTTTTTAAAGGGTGGACTCCTTGCTTTCATGATTATGTAATTTGCTCAGACTTTAATTGTTGTGACCTAATGCAGAAAGAAGCAAATGGAAGGCGATCAATAAATGAACAGCCAATTATTTAATTAAATCTATCCATCCTTTCCTTCTTGAAGTTGATCTCTAGATATCCCTCTGTACTTCCCTGACCACTAGACTCTCCATCTTCATGGTGGGGCCAGGAGGAGGCTAAAGAAGGAGGAGATTAAATTTATTTAATAGACACCAAAGGCAAGTCACAAGCTGATATGCCCCTATGACATAAGCAAAAATAATAAAAAATGAAAAACGGAAATCAAATAATTTAATTAGAGAGATCAACATTTTCCATCTTCTTCCATAAGATTTTTTGTTCCTAGTGGAGTGGGAGTGGGGGAAGGGAATGAAGATTAATTTATTGAGCAGACACAAACATGGAAGGAAGGAGGAAAGGAAGGGAAAAAGGGAGGGAGGAAGGAAGGGAGGGAGGAAGGGAGGAAGGGAGAGAGGGAGAGAGAAGGAAAGGGGAAAATAAAAAGGGAAGGAGGGGGAAAAGTGGAAGAAAGGAAGAGAGGGAAGAAAAAAGAGGGAGGAAGAGAGCAAAGGAGGGAGATAAGAAGGAAGAAAGGAAGGAGGGGAGAGAAAGAGGGAGGGAGGGAAAGAAAGGGAGAGAGGGAAGGAAGAAAACAAGCATTTATTAAGGCTTACTACATACTTGGCCTGTGCTAAGTGCTTTACAAATATTATCTCATTTGAGCCTCTCCACAACCCTGTGAGGCTGGAGCCACCATTATTCCCATTTTATAGATGAGATTTTGAAGCTGAGTCCAGAGCCATTGATCTACTCTGCCCTCTTGCTTCTCTTCTCTCCGTCTCTTGGGTTTCTGTGTCAGCCAGGCATGTCATGGGGGCCTGTCAATCACTATTTGCTGTTTGTTTGGCAAACTGATAGACTGGCCATAATAGAGACCCAGGTGGAGCTCCTGGATGGGAGAAGAGATTTGAACCGTGTTCAGAGCTGCATATTGAATTAAATGCAGTTCAGCAACTTTTTATTAGATGACCAGTAGACATCTTGTGATACTATGATTCACAGTGACCTGAATTTGCGTTTTCTCCCTTTACTAGATTGTGTGCATCCTGGGCACAGGAGGGATGACTTCTCTAAACTTTGGATCTTCTCCAGTGACTGACACGGTGCTCTGGTTACAAGAAACCCTTCATACCATTTATCAAGTGAATAAATGATTGAATGGAAGGTCTTTGGGAGCAGAGAACACTGTGCTAGGCACTGTCAGACACACAAAAGGAGAAGATATGATAAGGTCCCTGTCCGTGTGGAGCTCGCAGTCTAGTAAAGGGAAGAGACAGAAATATAGGCTTCTATAATGCCCCATGACACAGGATAAGTACACTCCAGAAGTGAGAAACAGAGTGAAATGTGGATTCTGAAGGAGAAATGGTTCTCACCAACTGAACCAGATGGGTCAGATCAGGCTTCCTAGAGGAGGGGGTGTTTGAAATAGTAGGGCACAGTGATCAACCAGATGATTTCAGGAATACCTGAGTTCAAATCTGGCTTCAGATACTTACTATCTAGGTGACCTTGGGCAAATCACTTAATTGTTATCTGCCTCAGTTTCCCAATCTGTAAAAAGGGAATAATAAGACCTATCTCCCAGGGTGGTTGTGAGTGTCAAATGAAATATTTGTAAAGTGCCTAGTACAGTTCCTGGCATATAGTAGGTGCTTAATAAATGCTTATTCCCTTTCCTTCCCCTTGATCCTGGTGCTATTCTGAGGATCTCATGGTACATTCGAAAGAGTAGTGGATTTGGGCTCCATTTCTAGGGACAGGTAGGAAGCATAGGGGAAAAAGTGTGAAGCTTGAGGTCAGGAAGAACCGAGTTTGTATTAGCTTTTGTGATTCTTCATAAGCCAGCCAACTTTTCTGGGCCTCAGTTTCTTCATCTGTAAAATGGGACTTTTGAGCCCTGAATCAGTATTCATACATTCCTATACTGAGAGTGCAACCAGTCATTTATGGAGAGGTTCTGCTTCCTAAGGACTCTTTCCTCTCTCCCTCTGTCCAGCCTATCGGATCCTCAAGGCCATCCACACTACCCTGGCTCTCTTGGCTCTTGCCCTGGCTGTGGCCCTGACGGTTATGACTCTTCTGCGTAAGTTCCCCATTCAAAGGGCTCCAGGAAACAAACCTCTTTCTTTGATCAGGTGGAGATAAAACACCAGAGCAAGTCCTGGGAAGGAGAAGGGTCTGGAGTCTTTAGACCAACTCCTGTCATGGGTTTGGGAGTGGAAGGGGTGGGGTGGGGAGCAGGCACAGTATTGACCCCTCTTTAGCTTCTCTGGAAAGGAAAGGAATCATAGGCAAAGGGGATTCTAAAGAATCAATCAGTTGGTCTTTAGCTGTACCTACGATGATGTGCAAGGCACTATGCTAAGCGCTGGGGATGCAAACATGCGGAAAGGAATCCTGCCCTCCGGGAGCTGACAATCTATCAGGAGAAACAGCATCCACTCATGAGAACATACCAAAACAAACAAAAATACAAAAAGGAAATGTAAGGTAAATTGTGGTTCTCCATGGCAGGGTGGGTGTAGGTGAGGTGCTAGCAGCTGGGGGTGGGCCATGGGAATCAGGAAAGAACTCCCAGGGAAAAGGAAGGCACTCGGAAGAGAGTTATACATTCTAAGGGGAAGAGAGGGGGTGATAAAGGCACACTGATGAGCGTGCCATATGTGAGGAACAGTAAAAAGGGCAGTTTAGAATACCTGGATCTGGCCAGAGAGATGATGTGGGGCCAGCAGCCCTGGGCTGACGAGGCAGGGGTGCTCCATGGAGTTTCAGAAAGATCTGGATATGAGACTTGCCTCTGAGGCCTTCTAGCTACGTGACCATGGACCCTAAAAAATTAAGCCAAGCTAATATTTTCTTTTGTTAGCTATAAAAGGGAGATAGTATTGTCATAGAGTTCAAATAAAATAATACGATAGAAACCACCAAATATCATCAGTGAGCCTGAGGGTCATGGAGATCATCAAAGGTCCGTTCCCATCCTATATCTTATGATCCGACTATCTGGGCAGCTAGGCACCCCAGTGAATAAAATGCTGGGCTTTGGGTCAGGAAGACCTGTGTTCAAATCCCACCTTAGACATTTATTGGCTTGTGACCCTGGGCAAGTCACTTAACCACTTTCAACCTCAGTCTTCCCATCTGTAAAATGAGAATAATGATAGCATTTGCCTCACTAGATTATTGTGAGGATCAAATGAGATAACATATATAAAGTGGTTTGTAAACCTTAAAGAGCTCATTAACACTAGGCATCATCATTATTATGACTACTCCTTTCATTTTACTAGTTAGGAAACTGAAGCCCCCGAGAGATTGGGTGAGTTCCCAAGGTCACACAGATGGAAAGGGCATCATCAGAGCCACCAGCAGTCCATTCAGGAAGACCTGAGGTTACGTCCAACCTCAGATACTTATTGAGTGAATGACCCAGGCAAGTCACTTAACCTTCATCTGCCTCAGTTTCTTCAATGGTAAAATGGGAATCATATTAGCACCTACTTCTCAGGTTTTTATGAAGATCAAATGGATTAATAATTATAGAGCCCTTAGCATAGTGCTTTGGACATCGTAAACACTATATAAACATTAGCTATTATTGTTGCTGTTTCTATTCTGATGCACTTCGATACGCATAAAAGTGTTATATACATGTGGTATTGTTATTGGTCATGGGTTTTTGCTCCTTTTTTTTTTTTGGTCCAGACTTAGGATTTTAACTGCATAGAGAGAATCCCGCAAGGAAACTCTATGAAAACTAATCAGTAATGATTCTGGTACTTAAGATGAGAGGGAGGCTGCATCAGAGGGCCTTTGGGTGCATTTTAGTTCAAGACCTGTGGTGTTGGGCTGCCCTTTCTTGGGCCACATGAAATGAAGGTTAAGTGACTTCACCAGGGTCACAAAGCTGCTATGTGTCAGGGACAGGGCTTGTACCCACATGTGTTCACTCACTTTTATAGACCACAGAAAGGGGCTGCTCATCTAGCCAGTGCCCATCTTCCCCCGAGCCTCAGCTAGTCAATCATCAAGGTTTCTGGGTATCTTTTTGGCAAGGCACCAGTGGCTACACCCATGTTCCATGGGGAGATTTCTTCAAACAAAAGGCCGTTCCTTGTAAAATCTCAGTCTAGTCCATTGGGAACTGAGGAAATGGATCAGTGACTCCCCTGACCAATGACCATCTTAAGTTAAAATATACTCACTCTGGGGCAGTTAAGTGGCACAGTGGGTAGAGCATTGGCCTTGAAGTCAGGAGGACCTGAGTTCAAATCCAGCCTCTGACCCTTATTAACTGTGTGACCCTGAGCAAGTCACTTAACTCCGATTGATTCCACGTGCATACATACACACGTATGTGCATACATATAGATGTGTATATATGTATAAGTGTGTGTATTCACTCCTCATCGCCACAGCTTCCTGAAACTCAGCTTGAGTACCATCTCTGACAGGAAGACCACTCCCCAGAAATGTCTTTGTATTTTCCTTTATAATTTTTGTATTTAATTATGATTATAGATAAATAGCTAGAAGGGAATTTAGAGGTCATCTAGTCCAACCACTTCACTTTCCACATGAGGAAACTGAGACCCCAGACTGGTTACATGATCTACCATGGCTATGTGTGAGACACTGTGTCAGGTACTCAAGATAAAAAGACAAAAATGAAATGGTCCCTGACCTCAAAGTGCTCACAACCTACTGGATAGTAAAACAGTACATAGGTACTACATAAGGTAGGTGGTAGAGTATAGTGTAGGAAATACAGCATCTGGAGTTGGAGGACCTGTGTTTGAATCCCAGCTCTGTATAACTTTGGCCCAAGGTCACATG